ATCAGGCAGGACCTGCCCTTGGTGAAGCCACGCTGGCTGTCTCAAATCACCTCCCTGTCCTCCATGTGCCTTAGCAGAGCTTCTAGGAGGATCTGTTCCCTGATCTCCCCAGGCACAGAGGTGAGGCTGACAGGTCGGTAGTTCCCAGGGTCCTCCTTTCTACCCTTTTAAAAATTATGTCTCATGCCATCACTGTAAGCCCTGTTTTAGTGGTAGAACCGCTTTGTTGCACTAAAGCTGATGGGTTTTTAAATTTGTTTTTAAAATCTGCCTTTCCCACTATTTAGGAAAGGCACTTGGTGTGTGGGTGTACTCTTCTATAATAGTATGGTAAATTTGTAAATGACAGAATAGTGAATCTAATGAGCTAGCAGCTTGAATGGGGATAAATTATAATTACAGAGGGAAAGAAGGCATATTATGTGATATTCTTTGGTAAAAATTATAGCATTCATTAACTTTTGCAGGAGAGAGACACAAAGTGTGTGTGTGTACATGTTTGTTCCCAATTGTAAGATATATCCAATGTTTTCTGCCTGCTTTAGATAGCACAATCACTGTGGTATTTTGTCAACTGATATTTGCTCAGGACAAACGATCGGGATAAAGTATAAAATATGTTTTTGCTTAATGATTTTTATGTGGATTTTGTTCTTCAGGCTAAAGGAGGGGGCTATGAGAGTGAGGATGCCTATCAGAATGCAGAATTAGTGTTCCTGGACATTCACAATATTCATGTTATGAGAGAGTCGCTGAGAAAACTGAAAGAAATTGTGTATCCCAATATCGAGGAGACTCACTGGCTGTCTAATTTAGAGTCAACTCACTGGCTGGAGCATATCAAGGTATGCATGTCTGCGTCCACTGGATGTGGCTAAGTAACTACAAGTCTGTACCAGTCTGTTCACTGGGAAGTGTATCCAGAGCTAAATCCAGTGCTGGATTTTCAATTCATGAGAAATTTAAAGACTTACAATTTGTTTTCAATTTATAAACAACTAAAACCCCAGTTTCACAGAATGGGGAATTTTGAGGAGGTGGGAAGAGTGACAAGATGGAGGGTTGAAATACTGAAAGATGGTGTTTTGGAAGTGAAGTGCGTTACTGGGTAATGTGGAACTGTGAAAGCCCTGGTTAGAGCACTGGAGTCCCAGAGTTTCCAAGTTCTGGACTCAGAGATCCTCGACATCCTAGTGTTACTGTGTGGTCCAGACCAGCAAATGTTGGGAGTTCATGCCCTGTCAGCCTTTCAGGAATCCAAGCAGAGTCAGAAGGAGTGGGGCAAAATGCTTCAGCTTCTACAGATGTTGGTTTTCAAATTAAGCTCTTCCTCTCCTAAAAATGTCCAGCTTACATTGTTGACCTGCTAATGCAGACAGGACCAAATCTGCTTCTGGGGCAGTTGCAAGGTGATGGCCATTTTGTTTTCATGTTCAGACACAGAATGCTCCTGCATTTAAATCCTGACCTGTCCAAGGACTAAGCTTAATGCAAGGGCTCTTCTAGAGTTGTGCCTACACTACAGTTTATACATGTTGTCATCTTGCTGGAACAAGAAATGTGTTCACCAATTTGCTGTCCTAGTTATAAAGTAGTTGGAACTGATTTACCATTCTCCTTGAGGCAGACAGAGCCCTTGGTTTGTCCTGTGTTGTCACTAGCCATTTTTCATTTATAGGTTCTGTTCCAAAGAGATTTTGTAACTTTTTTTTTTTTCCTTGTCCTAGCTCATTCTCGCTGGAGCCCTTCGAATAGCTGACAAGGTGGAGTCGGGGAAGACATCTGTGGTTGTACACTGCAGTGATGGCTGGGACCGGACAGCCCAGCTGACCTCTCTCTCTCTGCTCATGTTAGATGGCTACTACCGAACTATCAGGGGCTTTGAAGTGTTAGTGGAGAAGGAGTGGCTGAGCTTCGGCCACAGATTTCAGCTGGTGAGTCACTAGCCCTTGGAAGGCACTGAACAGAAAGTTATTGTCCACCTTGAAGGATTTCAAAGGAGTTTAGCCTTTCCTGTGAGAAGTCTCCCAGCTGAACTTGCAGAAGAAAGGTGAATGCTGCTGCTATTGTATCATGGTTTAAGCCCAGCCAGCAACAAAGCACCACATGTCCACTCACTCACTCCTCCCCCCCGGTGGGATGGGGAGGAGGAAATATAACAAAAAACTCGTAGGTCAAGGCAAGGACGGGGAGGGATCACTCACCACTTATGGTCATGGGCAAAAACCAGACTTGACTTGGGGAAAAAACCAAAATCAATTTAATTTACTACAAATCAAATCAAAACACAGATAAAGGGAAGTAAAACCAAATCTTAAAACACCTTCCCCCCACCCCTCCCTCCTTCCCGCCTCAGCTCCACTCCCGGTTCTCTCTCCCTCCTCCCCTCCAAAGGTGCAGGGGGACGGGGAATGGGGGTTGGGGTCGGTTCCTCACACGTTGTCTCTGCCGCTCCTTCCTCCTCAGGGGGAGGACTCCGCACTCGTCCCCTGCTCCAGCGTGGGGCCCCTGCCACGGGAGACAGTCCTTCACGAACTGCTCCAGTGTGGGTCCTTCCCACAGGCTGCAGTCCTTCAGTCACAGACTGCTCCAGCGCGGGCTTTCCCGTGGAGACACGGCCATCTTGGGGGCCTCTGCTCCCCCGGGGGCTGCCCTCCCTGGGCTGGGGGGACACAGCCTGCCGCCTGGTCTCCCCACGGGCTGGGGGGGCATCCCTTCCTCCCCCGCTCCTCCTCCCCTCCTTCCTCCCTGACCTCGGTACCCGCAGAGGGGTTCCTCTCCCATCCCAATCCCCGACTCCCTGCAGGTTCCCCTCTTCACTCTGCTCTCCCAGAGGCACGACCGCCCTCACGGACGGGCTCGGCCTGGGCCAGCGCCGGGGCCGGCTCCCACCCGCGGAAGCTGCCGCCAGCTTTGAGCAGCAGCCGGCCCTGCGGCCCCTCCCCTGCCACCAAAACCCTGCCACACACACCCGATACATATTGTTTTCTGCCTATATTTCCAGTCATCCCTCAACCTCCTTGGAGACAGTATTGGTTAGATACAAGGAACAGGTAGTATTAAATCTCACAGATGTCTGACTGATATGTTGTGTTCCCATGCTTAGGCTTTAACTAACAGTGTGCTTTGGGTTCAGGATCGGCATTTCTGCTGGGAGTTGGCAGAGACCACTGGGCTATTTTTTGTCTTTCTTCCCAGTTCAGTCCATTTTCTGAGACTGCTTGGACACTGTCATCTAACATGCCTTGGTATTGAAGAGGCTGGGGAATTCGGTTATGGCCTTGACCTCACATTTTCTTCAGGCACGTTTTATTTTTGGGGAGGCTTTTAATTGTTTAGGTAAAAGATCAGCAGTTTGAGACTGGACCAAGAGTAGCTCACGGTTGTGTTCCTAGAGTGGGCAGAGGCAGCTTTATGGACTTGTGACACAGCAGTTTGTTACAGTTTGCACTGATGGGAATTGAGAGCGCCTTTCAGTGGTATCGTTTCAGTCTTTGTTCCTATTGTGTTGTGCTCGTAGCTGTTCTCTTGCAGTCCTTTAATTTTGGCAAGGGCTAGAACGAGGACTGTTTACAGCACATGCGATGGTGGGTTGCATAGTCAAATGCTCTGAGAAGGGTAGGGCAACTGAGGTTCTGCTGCAGCAAAACTGTTAACTGGTGTTTGAACGATGAGTATTTTAGCTTTGCTGTCTATACAAAGAAAATAACAGTATTTATTTCCTTTAGTGAAGGGAGAACAGTATTACAGAAGAGGTAGGGATTTCTGTTACTTACATGTTCTTGTTCTGTCTTTGTACAGTACTTTGGGCTCCTGGGTAATACGTAACCACTAACGTACTATACAAGTTACAAGGAATCAGGCCTCACATGTCTTGGCCACACAGCACGGTCAGGGTTGGAGGCCTACTTCTGGGGATACTTTCATCACTGCCTCTCTTGAGGTGGCAGGAGATGGGCTGGGGTAGTGTTTGTACAGCGCTTGGAAGCTGCGAGGTGTTGTGTGATGGTTATCGCCACATGCCGTGCCTGTAGGTAGTGTTTAGATCTAGCACACTGTACTACTGAAGTAGCCAGGACGACAGCTGCAACTGAAGCAAAAAGCATTCTCATTTTTTTTCCTCCTGAACTTCAGCTATTAACTGAAATCAGTGCCAGCATAGCATCTGGAGCCTCTACTCAAACAACTCTTGTTTTAATTTAGCATGAAAATATCCCCATAAAGAAATTTCACTTCAAAGACAAAGGGAGTAGCTGTCCTTTACTCCTTTACTCACTGATATGGACAAAGCAAAATCAAGACTCATTTGAACCTTCTTAAAGCTGTTGGTAAAGGCTTGGGTGACTGAGAGGACACCCCAGCAGTTTCCCAGTGAAGCCCTGTGCGACTCATGTTCTTTGTCCTGCTCTTTTTTAGAGAGTTGGCCATGGAGATAAGAATCATGCAGATGCGGATCGCTCTCCCGTCTTTCTCCAGTTCATCGACTGTGTCTGGCAAATGACAAGACAGGTAAATTGCTGGGTGGCATGTGTGTCCACAAAGCCAGTATACCAAGATGTGGCACAGTGTGTGGACAGGAATAATTACCAAGCTGACCTGCACAGGCTCTCCTTCCTGGGCTTCTACTCTTGTTTGGACTCTGGCAACAAGTTTCCTGGAAGTCTGTTTAGCGAAGGGCCTGAATGCATAAGTACATAGGAGGGCCACAATGCCAGTTCGCCTCAGATTAGCTAGTTGGTGGGTGCTGCTTACCTACACACTGCTGTAATAAATGTGAGCTTGTGAGAAGCAGCTTGCCTCACCCTGAAAGAGGGGACAGTTGCCTCACGCGCTTACCATGGGCAGGAACACAGCCCCCAGCAATCCTCAGTAGCCCACTGTGCCTTCAGAAGCATGACCTGAGCTGCTAATGTAAGTCTCTAGCGTGGTGGGTGCAGACAGATCCCTGTTGCCTCTGCTCAAGGTGATCCCATAACCAAACCTGCAGCAAGACATTTATTTGGTCCATTTTAACTTCTTCTGAAGGCAAACATACTGCTCCTGACTCCTATGTGATGTACAGAGCTGAGTTCCTCACTTCAGACCAGGCATGGCAGAGGCACAGTTCAGGAGAGATCCCCTGTGGTTGGGAGGTTTTTTCCCCAAGTATGTGGGACCTGGAAGTTTTTTTGTGTCTGCTGTGACACAAACTGTGTCACATGGAAAATGCCAGCCATGGTCAGGTAGTGACCTGAAAAAATTGGGCTCATCATGGATTAAAACAGGTGAAATGGAAAAGAAGGATGCTACTATATATGAAGCTGTACCATATCCAAGCAGAGAAAGAGGGAGGCTTTACCATCATTGAAAGTCACTTTCATCGTGCTCTCCTTGGATTGCTCCTACAAGCAGGCATCCTGGCCTGCAGCTGGTGAGGTCAGGATGTTGCAACCAGGGCAGCCTGGGAAGAGATGGGTGGTGGTTTGCGAGGGAGGAAGGTCTCCCGCTCTCCTCTCCATCGCCCCAGCATGTCTGTGCAGTTCACTGCATGTATTCTTACTGACCCTTTGTGGAGCTCCAGTTCTCCCTGTCATGGGTCTGATTGTTTCTGCATGGAACGTCAACAGCAAACACAGCCCCTACCCATACACCTGTTCCTCCCGCTGACCTGTGTTGCAAGATACCTCCCTGCTGTTCCCTCTGGGAAGCGCTCTGTTGTGCACACAGGTTATTTCCATTTGGCCCCGGCAAATTGCCATTTCTTTTTACTCATTATTTCACATGTGCTTCAGCCTTTTGTTCACAGTCTCATTGCGTGGTCTGTCATGAGGGGCAGGCATAGCAGAGCAAGATTCAACTTGAAGCAGCACTGAGTGTATATAAACACAGTGGTCAAACCCTTCAGACCTCTGGCTTTTGCTCAAAATTCCTCTCTGTACATGTAAAGCAGCTTTCCAAGAGAGAAACTCTTGCTTCTGGAAGGAGTAAATATGATACCAAATATCCAGCCAGGCAGGGAACAGGGACAAATCCTGTTTTAGAAATCAAGAAGAGAGGCCAACTCCTTACCAAGACCACAAAGTGGGAGAAAGTTTATTTGCGATTCCTGTTCTAAAATCCCAGCCTAATTTTCTGGTTCTGTCTGAAGTTTCCTACAGCATTTGAGTTCAATGAGTACTTCCTGATAACCATCCTGGATCACCTGTACAGCTGTTTGTTTGGGACATTCCTGTGCAGCAGTGAGCAGCAGAGAGTGAAGGAGGTAAGACAGCTTCTCTCCAAGGTGAAGGCCAGGTACTGCGATGGCTTTAGCTGGCCAGCTGCTACTAGAGAAGTTGTTTCAGCACTCAAAGATAGTGGTAGATGCAGGTCTGGGTAATGCCAAGCCCCCTTCTTAACAGCTGGGACATGGGGTATTTTCCTCTTCGCACAAACTGCTGTCTGTTGGAGACTTCACATTTCAGAGCAATACCATTTCCCTCTGGGCAGTCCCACTGCTTTCAGCATGGCTTTCAGCTACTCACTGGTGGCTGAATAGCTCCTGGTGTCTCCCAGGTAGTTGGAAATGCAGTTTTTCTTTGAACTTCAGTTTAATGTAACCTTCTCTGGGGAAACCGGTACCTTTTTGTCCTCCCTTTTCCTTGAAGAGGTCCCTTGAGGTTGCTTTTAACTACCCAGTGTGCATTGTCATTCTGCACACATAGGTTACAGCAAGTAACTGGTCTCAGTGTGTGTTCTTGCTGTGCTTGCATTTTTCCGGGAGAGGACAGAGCTGCTAGTATTAGGAAGGACATGCCTCTAGGTCCTGCCACTAGCCAGCTCTGCCCTGCAGTCTGGTGGAGGTTTGTTTGCCAAGGGAGGAGCATATAGATGTGTACATTCAGACCCAGCCTGGAATCAGAAAGAGAAGCAGTGACCCTCATTCTGTCTCACCTACCTAAAGATGAAGCATTTTGTCACCAGAATGTTGCAACTCAACATCACAGAGGTACATTGAGGACAGTGCTGTGTAGACCTGATGTGATTATATGTGATAGTGCATCAGTTAAAAAATAATAATAAAAAAAAGTACTGTAATACAGAAGTGATAGGATTGTACTGTATTGAAAACAGGGTCCCTGTTTCTCTAGAGTCCACAACGATTGAATAATTGTAATTTCCAGAGAAGAAAACCTGCATACTGTTTGCATGTGGGTTTTTTGGGTTTTTTTTTTTGGGGGGGGGTGGTGTTAAAGCCTGAGCTAGCAAAGTACTTAATCTAGAAAACACTTCAACACTGGTTTCACTGGGACTATTCACAGGCCTAATTATTCCACTAGATCAGGACCTAAATCAAATGTTTTCTTTTTTTCTTTGCAATTAAATACTCGAGCAAGTCTTCCAGGAGCACTTTAAAGAGGTGAAGTTTAACTAAAGCATTGAGAGTTCACATGCCAGCGTCCCCTTGCTGTGCCAATGACGATTCCTGGTCTGTGTTGGCAGCTGGGTGGGTAAGAGGGGATGTTTCCATGCCAGGCTGTGTGTGTGCCTGCCTGCATGCATGTGCTTTGATTACAACCACCACATCAAAAGAATGGGGTTTTTTTTCTTAAGCTACAAAAGGGCAACCAGCTCTGTATTAATGACAGGCATACGTATATGCTGTTATACTCTGTAGATAAATGCTGGGATTTGTATGGGAAATAAGGCCTCCTCCACCCCCTTCCCTTACAGAGCCTTCCAAAAAAGACCGTTTCGCTTTGGTCTTACATCAACAGCCAACTGGAAGACTTCACTAACCCCTTGTACGTGAGCTACTCCAACCACGTCCTGTATCCCGTGGCCAGCATGCGCCACCTCGAGCTGTGGGTCGGCTACTACATCCGCTGGAACCCCAGGATGAAACCGCAGGTACCTCTCTTCGAGGATCCTACTTCTGTTTCCCTCTCTGCTAGTACTAATACTGTCATTTTGGAGTTCCAGACCTTTGAAGCACAAGAAGTAATGTACACACTTAAGCTGCCACTGCTTGAATCTAAACCAAAAGCCTAAATTCAAATGCAAGCAAATGGAAGAGCAGCATCTGCAGCTGACTGGTGCGGGTGGTCAGCTGGAGGGCGCTGCCTGGTGAAATCCGCAGGAGCTGAAGATTCTCAGCAGTTTGGAAAATTTCTCACTTAGAATATCGGGAAAATAATCTGAAGTCTCTCTTCTTTACAAAAGAGCCTAAAAACCTAAGACTTCTTTGGATGTGGGATTCTAGATCTGAGCTTTGGGCTATATTCAGATTATCGGCAATAGGAACCTGCTGCTTGCTTTGGCTGCCCAAGGCACAGGGGTCTGACTGCAACCCTGTTATGCTCGCTCTGGAACTCTGACAGCAGGGAAACTGGCTTGCCCAGGGCAGGCACCTGGGACAAGCAGTCTGAACATGGCCCTAAATGCTGAAATCACTTTTTAATAGGAAGGGACAAAAATTCCTGGATTGCCTCAGTGTCCAACTGCAGTTAACAGAGCTTTGCAAATGTGGGGCATTAGGTACAGGAACCCAGCAAATGCTTTACAGTACTAACTAACTGTTTAACAGTCAGAACTATGTGAAAATATTTAGATAAATCTGTATTGTGGGGTTTTTCTCCCCAAAGCCCTGAAATTACATCCAGGTTGAGATGCCAAGGCCAGTGTCCCCCAGAAATGTCAGAGATTAGAGTTCTGTAATTTTCATCTTTCAAAATACACAGTTTTGTTTAGCCACCATTGTACTATGCACCTTGGATAAAAATAAGCATCCCGAAGCCAGAGCAACTACTCACCCCTGGGCTGGAGACAATGATATAACCCACGTACCACCCCTCCTTCCCTCATAGCTGTGTGTAAGCTCAGCAATGTTTTGTGGTTCAGGCTTCCACTTCTGTGCTTACCTCCCAGCACTCAGCTACACATTTTCTTGCAGGAACCTGTCCATAATCGCTACAAGGAGCTTCTTGCCAAGCGGGCCGAGCTGCAGAAGAAAGTGGAGGAACTGCAGAGAGAAATCACCAACCGTTCCACCTCATCCTCTGAGAGAGCTGGCTCTCCCGCACAGTGCGTCGCTCCTGTACAGACAGTTGTATAGTATGGACTTTTTTTTGCCAAGTACCTTCCCAGGACCACGGGGGCAGCTTTTTTGAAACCCTCTGGATTTCCAGCGTGGTATCTGGGAGCTGCCAATCTATTTATTTATTTCTCTCCAGGGTAATTTATTAGTACTGTAGCACTAGAGGAAGCTTAAGCAAAAACAAACAAACAAGGCCCCCTATGCAATTAACCTTCTCAGTGGCTAGATTATAATACAAGCTAATTGCACTTGCCACCTAAAAGAAACCTAGAGCTCTTTCTCTGTTCACTTATGTGCTGGAAATCACTTGGCTTTAAAGAGAAACTGTGCACTAGAATGAAGTACTGTGGAGGAAAAATATCTACTCAGAAGTTTGAAAAAGCTCCCCTTTGCTAAAAAGAACTACCGAATCTGGCTTTGTATTGGAGCCTAGAATACAGCTGTAAAGGCATGAAACCCTCCACTATTAATATCTGCATAGCAGTGCTGACGAGAGCATTTGCCAACGTACTTAGAGACAAGCAGCAATAGCATCTGGAACATATCACCGTTCTTCTCACTTTTCCCTCCACTTTTATCTAGATCATAGGAAGCCATGTAAACAATGCCTTATTTAAAGAAAGGGCAGCTTCTACCAGTAAAACCTGGTGGTAGAGGAGCAACCTACATGACTTGACTTTGTAGGACAAAGTTCACTTCCATCTTTGCAACTTCAGAGTCTCACTTACGGTTTACATTGGGTGTGCCAGGATGCAACTTAAGCACCTCTATTTCTGAGGGGGGAAGCAGAGCATGGCTCCCCTGGGCTTTCTGCAGCTCCTCTGTCCTCCAGTGCCTCCTACTTGTCAGGGGAAGGGTGGTGGAATACCAAGGGGCATGTGTGAACTGCTGGGATCAGTCATTTCATTTTGCTTGGGTAAGTGTAATTAGTGATTTTAATGCTTCTGTGCAGGATCAGAGTGGCGTACTTAAGGTATTTCAGTTTTCTGTTAACTAGTGGAAGCAAGCGTGTATCAACCAAAGAAGCCTTTCTGCCTGCAGAACTTGCAACTGCTACCTAAGGTTATTCTGGTAGATTAAACAGCTTAGCCAGTTTCTGAGGCCTATGTTTAGGTCTCTTTCCTTATAGCATACTTCAAGAATTAGTGTCACCTGACTAAACTTAAGTCCAAATTCAGTTTTAATACAAAATTTTGCTGTAAAAGTGGAGATAAAAAACACACTTGGTGAAACCATGCCTGCCCTATTGCTCTTCCAAACAGGTAAGTGCAGGGCTGTAGAAGGTTGGGCTTACAGCAAAGGAAGTTATATATGTGCAAGGATCTTCACTCCAGGCTGCTTCTCATCTCCATGCTAAGGAAGAGGGGCACTGCTTGGTCTGGGTTCTTGTGTTGCTCTTTTATGATAGGATCCCAGACTGTGGTCACCTGTTTCATACACCCATCAGCATGCTGCTTCACTCAGCCTCTCTTCCACGATAGAGAAGTATTTTCTGAGAGAGTATAAGAGTGGACTGATTTACACATCAGAAATTGCCTTTCAAAAGCCACATTCCTTCCGAGGCAGTAACTGTAATTTCCCCCTGCAGTCTCCATTTCTGCCTGCTCTACTGCAGTCAGCGTCTCAGTATTTACAGAGAAATCCACAGCCACCTTCTGACAGAATGAGGAACAGGCTGTATAGCATTGCTGCACTTGTTACAGGGTGGCCTGAGATGTTACAGTTCAATAGTGTGAAGAATCCACACAAAATACCTTCTGAAGGACTTGGATTTGCTTTAAGGTTAAAGGGCAGATCTGCTCTTACGTACAATCACTATATAAGATGGTTCATAGCATTATTCTATATTAGCAAATTGACTCTGTGTGTATATTTTGTTTCTTGATGAAGGCTGTTTGGTTTCCTTAACGCTAATAAAAAATTGATAAATGGGTAAAGTTCCTGTGTGCTTATTTTCAACTATGTGGTTCTCCAGAGGACTCATAGCATGTGCAAATGTTAATAAAATAGCACTGAAAATTTAGTGTTTCAAAACCAAATCTCTCTCATTCTTCTGCAGGTGGACTTACAAGCTGCTAAGGTTCAAACTCTGAAATTTAGAATGATGGGAAAAGAAAATTTATCTTTGGACAAGTTTCTCTTATCCTATACAGACCAGTATTAATACAGATACAGTGCTTAGCTGCTCAATATTACAAAAGTACTTTCACAATAAAAAAAAATAATCAAACAATTTCTGCACTTTACAGTGCATTAGCACAGTAACATCATCTGTGTAGAAGGAGGACCAACATTTTTATATGTAACTAACTCATGTTAAGCCCAAATTCACTGGGATGATTTGGGATCAGCTCAATGCCTGCTCGTTGATGCTCTCACCCCTAGTAGGCTTAATTCCAACTTGGGCACCTCATTCACTGTATACAGCACATATGGAGCCTAAAATACTCCTAAGCCCTCCCATCAGTAAGGAGCTGCATGAGGACAGCCCGAGGTAATGCTGAAATTGACTCATCTTTGAGCAAGCTGATCCCCAGAGGTCCTTCCCAAGCAAAATCACCAAGTGCAGTTTCAGCTACTGATTTTTCAGAACCTCCAGGACGAAATGCTCTCCAGGTGGTTACTCCAGCGACCTGGAACCTATGTCACTAACATAAATGAAGATAAGGGGGATGGCTCCAGGCCTGGTTAGTAGCTTCTGACTTGCCCCTCACAGCTAAAACCTTCTGCGCCTCAGATGCAAGGAGGGTGGATCCCCTACAGATAATTAAAATTCAAATCCCTTCTTCCTGTGTAGACCCTATGGAGTTCCCTGCCTGTTCAGCTACAGGCAAGGGTGGCCAACTGACTCTCACCTTACCTGTACCCTGCTGGCGGCTCATATTCAATCGCCCTGGCCAGGGAGATGTCATGTCACCACAAAAAGCACAAGGGATGGGGCACAGTGCTGCAGCAACAAACATGGAGCTAATTTAGAGGACGTGCAGCTTTCCCACAATTCAACAGGCAAGCTGGCTTTATTATTTTTCAACTGTATAAACAGATAATCTGGGTCTCCTATACATTCCATTAATAGGAAATTCTTTACATTATTAACATAATAAATAACATTTACTCAGCTGTGCAAGTCAGAGTGCAAAATGAACTGCACCACTACTAAAGTAGATAGCTCATCAAAGCACGTATTTCAAGTTAAAAGCAAGATGCCAGGACTGAATGGCATGATTGAGGCACTTGCAGTTTAAAACACTCATGGTTTATCTCACTCCTTTACCACCCAAAGCTGTGAACTAGGAGACAGGATATTATCCCCTATCCTATAGCTTCTTCGTAAAGTGGATTTCTGTAGAAAAATTTCATTCTTCAGACTTGAAAAGAATTCAGTCAATCATTAAGCAAAATAATTCGGAAAAGTTAATTTTGCTCCTTTTGTGAGTACTCAAACATCCACTGCCATTAATGCTGACTAATGCAATGTAGCAGAACAAGAACTAGGAAAGCTTTTTGAGGAGAGCTACATAGAACACCTTTAAATGGGTTTACCTGTTCTCCCTTAGACACTCTCAGAGTCTGAGTAATTACAGCTGCACGCAGAACAGAACTGACAAAAGCCCTTAGGACATCAGGTCACAGCATCGTTTTCAAACAAGATGCATCTTGAGAAGCTTCCCAATGCACAGTTCAACAATAGCGTGAAATCGCACTGGCATTTCACATACACCAACCCGCA